TGTGGTTTCTGGTATATGAACTCCAGAGAATAATCAAGTGAATAATTTCAGAAATTACTCAGTGCATAACTTGGAGTAAAATCTTCGGGACATGACTTTTCAGGGTCAAAACCGAAATGTCAATGAACATTTGAGTCGAAGACAGTCAACTACTGTGGAATAACCACGTAATGCCCATTGTACAAACAAGTAGTACTGCGAGTAGTATGAATTCCATATGGTAGAGGTATTATACCGTACTCCTAACATAGTAGTAGACATAGATGAGACGGTGCCGACAAAGACAAGGGAGACCGCAATGACCCTTTCTGGCTTATAAGCCGTCATTAGCCAGTCATACCCAACCCCAAGTGTTGATCATTTGAGATACGAACCCGGAATTTTTGGTCATGGAGTTTGACACTACAATTTCGGTAATACTGATTACCTTGCGGTATAATCCTAAAATATTACAGACTGGGCAGGGTATCAGCTTTTGAATGCGCTGTTATTCGATCTCCTGAAGAAAACGTACTCGGTAAAAATGACTACTTAATTAGCATGCACTTTTCCTTTTTATTTTCGATCTTCTTGAAACTTCAAATATATTTTAGAGAAACTACAAAAAATATGCTTTCACTCAGTCATTTGACGGAAAATCATGTCCTCTTCACATTTTATACTCGAAGACGTAGTATAATTACGTTTTGAAAAAAAGTTTTTAATAATAAGATTTTTTAAGTCCGAGCAATGCCCATCTATATAGCATCTTATCTGCACGTTTAACACTGCTCCCCATTAAATGTACAACATAGTCCGCATCCATTGTAAAATTTTATGAAATCTATATGATATCTTTTTAAAGGCATGGATGGATATGTAATTTTCTTTACGCGGAAATCATGCACCTTGCAGACTGAAATCACTAAGCGCTAATTCAACTACTTATCAGGCTCCAAATTATTCGGCAATCAGAAAACGTTTTTAAAAACCTGTTATACTACTTCTTCGAATATAAACTGTGAGGAGGGAGTGATTCTCCGTCAAAAGACTGAGAGAAAGCCTATTTTTGTGGTTTCTCTGAAATATATTTGCAGTTCCAAAATCATCGAAAATCAATGTGCAAAATGCACGCTATATAAGTAATCATATATTACCGAGTACGGTTTCTTCAGGAGATCGAATGGCAGCGCATTCAAACGCTGATACCCTGCCCAGTCCGAAATATTATAGGATTATACCGCTAGGTAATCAGTATTACAACCGCGCCTAAGTAATCCTTCTTAACCGAAAACGCATTTGGAATTTCACCCAACATTTCATGAGATCGGTCACTCTTTGTGTGAATATAGAAGGCTCATCGGAAAAAACGAGTTGTACTCGTGAATTTTCGAGCTGGTGACACCAACCCGTCGTCAAACGAAATTAACAGAGGAGAAAGTGAAATGGTCAGACCAAATTGGTTGGCGTGACTGGACAGCCACTAATAGGTAAGCAACTAATGTATGAAAGGGGGGTTGGAGACATAATTAGGCTAGGGTCTGTGGTGAGGAAGGGAAGAGGGAACTGTTGCGGCTCCCTGTGTTAGAAGGTAGGGGGATGACGATTCAATGTGACTTCGGACGGTAGACTTAATGATCATCGATCCGGCATGCGGGTAGGAGTCAGATCCAACGTTACGGTTGAGGTTCGCTTCGTCTGGTATAGGAGGGGGGTGGCGAAATAGTCCGATTACACAGGGCCCGGTATGGATTAGCGGCTGTTGTTAGGTCGTGGGCGCAAGTCAGTGAGCCGAGTACGCAGACCTTCGAAACAGGCATCCAGATCGACATGACGATTGATGCTAGTTGTGTTAGAGTGCCAGGTTTCGAGGAATTCTCGGACCTGTTTGGTGTTTGCCATAGCAACAATTTCAGTTCCCTCCCAATTGAAACGATGGTCACATTCAAGGGCGTGCGCAAAAACGAGCGACAAAGGGTCATGGCGGCTGCTGGCTAGCTTTTGTTCGTTTATGCGCGTCCCAAGTTGTCAGCCTGTATGATCGACAAGAGCTGTTAGCACAGGGAATGCGGTAGATGACATTGGATTGCTGCTCTTTGGATAAAGGATCTTTCACACGGGACAGTGTTGAGCGCAGGGATGACGCCGGCTTGTGGGCAATGAAGATACCAAACCGGTTTAGTTGTCGGGCCATCGCCTCGGAAATATCCTGTATGTAGGACAGAGAGTAGAATTTCCGTTGTACGGGTCCCCCATTAGAACTAACGTCTGGTGGCAAATGTTGACAGGCAGTATTTGACAACAACGTCGCTGGCTAACACAAAGTTGATTGTTTGACCAGTCAGATCGCAGTTCGTAGACGAAATGCGGAAGCTAACCTAACACTAAAACTCTGACTGTAACCGTAAAACCGTAACCAAAATACTAACCCTAAAACCCCAACCTTAACCCTAAAACCTAAAAATAAACTTAACCCAAAAATCCTAGCCCTAAACTTGACCCTAACAAAAAACCTTAACCCTAAACTCAACCCAAACACCTAACCTCAAATTTAACCCTAAAGCTAAAACCCTAACCCCAAACTCCTAACCCTAACCCCAATCTCAACCCTAAAACCTAACCCAAATTTTAACGCTAAAATCTAATCCTAAAACCCTTACCTTTAAAATCAAACCCTAGTCATAAAACTGAATCCTAGGCCTAACCCTGACCTTCACTAAGCCCAACAACCTGAACGAAGCGGGCGACCTACTGGTAACAAGTTTCCTTGGCAAGGGAAACAAACCTACGGATTACAAGTACGTCGACAATA